TTTAAGATGTAATATTTCAAAAAAAAAGGAGCAAAGGACATTTGATAAATCTTGATTTAGAACTGTTAAAAAAGTAAAGAAAGAGAGAAGAGAGATAAAAGAAATGTATTGAAACTGTTATAATAAATGTCGAAGATAAAAAATGAAGAATAATAACGACTAATAATATAATTGATCCAGATTATCCTGCTTTATGTTGATTCGTATTTAATCTCTTTTTTTAACTGCTTAATGTAATCGTAATAGCATCTATTGAGTGAGATAATAAACTAACTATAATAATCATATAAAATAAAAGATGTCGAAATTCATCTTTTGTATCATATGAGATTATCAGTTTTTAATCGTTAAATGTCGTTTTCTCATCTTCAAATCAGACAATTGTATAGTGTAGCAATTATATTCATTATGTGATTTGTTGAACAATCTCTCTGGCTCTATTCAATAAAATAATGCATAATTTCGAATGTCTCATGTTGGCGCACGATTTTTTTTCAATTAATTTTTTACCGATTAATTGTTTTAACAAATGCGTTTTCAATTCAATACTTTAATCGTTTAAATCTTGCAATCTCCCGAAGCAATGAGCTTTTAGCGAAACAAACAATGACAAATGTAAAGACAAAAAATGCCTATTTTTTATTGTATAAATGCCATCATTGTTCTTCTGTTTTAATATCTTTGCAATTCTTTACTTTCATTATTAAATATATTTATATATTCATATATATTTTTTTAGTTTTCATTATTAAAAATATTTACATTTTAACAATTTAAAACATTATTTGTCTATTTGTTTAAATAAAATTGTACGCAATGTTAAGAAATATTCTATTTTTCAAGGCTCGCTAGATTCTCATTAAGAATTTCTTTAACCACTTAACAATTCGCCGATTCTTCCTCGATATATTCATATTCTAAAATCGTGTCTCTATTGACAGATATTTAATATTTTAACATAAAACAATAAAGAAATATTATATAATATTATATAAATATACATCGCTCAATGTGGCAACAATAATTAAAATCGGAAACGTTCGCGTAACCGACAGAATCAATCCGGCATTAATAATCAGATTTGTTGTATCCGGAATCACATTATGCCGGAGGCCTCATGTGAGCAACGATTTGTATTTCCCAACGGAGTATACTATCGTGAGTCGAACGCGTTGTTTGATTTCTCAAATACGCTACATGCCTCATGATAAAATACAGAAAAAGAGAGAGTAAAAGGGAGAGAGAGTAATTTACTTTCCGCCTTTTCGTGCCACGATCTCTGGCGCGAAATTGGGTCAGAATCTTCTTACGCGGGATTTGTTTACGTCGGATAATCGATCGGTAATTCGATCAACCTCAGTACGGCGTAAAGCTCATCGAAAATTTTCAGTTGGAAACTCGTATGCGATATTTGATTCGCCGAGGACGAGGCGTTAACGTGCTAATCTCGTCCGACGTCGATTCCAATAACTCAAACGTCGAGTAACATAACATCACGACGAAACGCGTGTCGGTAGATTGATCGATTCTTCATCACACGTGGCCGTTGATTCCGCCAAATAATGTCGTTTCATTTATTTATGACAAAGCGAACGTAATTTTCGCGAGTTAATCGATCTCGCTGCCGTTTCATTACTTGAAAAGAATAACGTTAACATTTATCGTTTATCTATCGCTGTACTAGAATGTATCTGCGCGATATTACTTTTTTTTTCGACATCACATTTTCCTTAATCATAATTATAATTTCATTTTAATTAAAAAATATGCATTAAATAGTCTCGCGCGTAAAAGCAAAAATTTATATTAAATCATACATTATTCCGGTCGATGTATAACGTCCCGTCGTCCTCGGCGGATTTTTATCAGAGGACAGAATATAAATCCATGTCCATCTATCTATCTATCTGCATTCGGCGAGTTTCGTTGAGAAAGGGAATTCACATAAATCGTACAGGCGACAGCAGAATCGGTATGTAAAAGCTAGCTAGCTAGCTAGCTGTGCGGTTCAGTGTCGGAAACCAGGATGCGCGGCTTCGGAGTCGACGGTGTTTGACCCTCGGCGTCCTGAATCCGTTACGGTCCCAGGCACCCCACCGGAGAGCCTTTCAGGACTACCGTAGCGCGATTATGGCACTCCACATGCTGCCCTCGTATTATAAATTAAACGAAAAACAAATATAAGCGCGAAGGCAGAAACGAGGCGAGTCTCTTGTCCGACCAAACTTAGACCTATCCACTTACTTCGGACTTGGAGCCCTTCGTCGTCAAGGGGACTCCTTCCTTCGTTTCTCTCTGTCTTTCCTTTAGGAAGACGTCCTTATCTGACTAAAGCTCTGCCTCGACCGCCCCTTATCTGCTCGGGATATCGCCGCAAGTTTCTTGAACAACGAGACATCTTCGGGTCGCCGAAACTTCCGCGGCAACTCGTATTCGTCCGGTAGGGCTCGCCGACCACGTTCGAGTCTGCTTTTGGAAACTACGAAGTGAGTTGGATAAGGATCCAGAGAGGCGAAGCCCGTGGAACGGATGGCGGATAGCGGATAGCGGTGGGATAAGGTACACCGACTCCCCCGGGATTCCCGGCCGGTGGCGTTCTTAATGAAAGACGGGAATTGAAGCGAGCATTAAAATTTAAGGCCGCACGGAAACGGCGCGGAGGATGAGTGCTACTGGCGCAACACGATCTAGCACATAATACTTAACGTCACGGATCTCGAGATTTGTTCAAAGTTGCCGTTAATATCCCAGTATCACGGCAAACTCGATTAATTATAATTCCCCATTTCCAAGTCCCCGTACGTTTATGTCCCGCATTTATTCGCTCGCGACTTATTAATTCGTGCTTTAATTACTCCCGACATTTTATCGACGCAAACTCTCCATTAAATTGAGATTGTGAATTTAATTTGATCGGCACACTGAGAAAAATCATTTGATTGTATCAACAAGACGTATATGATTGAAGGCATTTTGGTTAAATCAAACAAGAATTTCTAATTATTGTGAAGACTCGATTTTTTATAACTAGAACGTTTAATAGATTTTATTATAAGGATTTGGTTAGTATCTTCTGATTGGATCTATCAAATTTCTTGTTACATTAATTTCTTTGCTTGCCACTCTTAACTTAACTCGTATTCAATATTTGCCATGAAATATATAAAGAATTAGTATTAAATCCAAAGTATATTTTTTTTCTTTCACGAGCAATAGTGCGAGAAAGAGGACGCTAGCTCTCTGATTGTGTGTGTTTGAGCTGCATCCTCTTCTTGCATCACTGTTTATCGGTTTAATTTCTAACAAACTGAACTTAAAATAATTTATTCAATAATCTGGATTGAATTTATACAATAATCGTGTTGGAATTCAGAATATTAAACAGACTTTTGAGATTAGATGGAAAAAATTTTAGTCGACTTGGTGCTGGCGAGTTTAGTATTATTAACCAGAAAATTTTGTAAATTTAACAGGAAGAAATTAATCAGATTCATCTGATAATTCCTACAAGAATTCTGGTTCGTCCATTTTCCAACAGACGTACTGGTTGAATCTACCAGAATTCTAATTAATGCAACCAGATTTTTTTCTCAGTGTGCCATTTTTGTTGTAAATTTAGCATTATTATCAAGAAAATTTGATAAATTTAACAGGAAGAAATTAATCATATTCATCTGATAATTCCTACAAAAATTCTGGTTCGTCCATTTCCCAACAGACATACTGGTTGAATCTACCAGAATTTTAATTAATGCAACCAAATTTTTTTCTCAGTGTGCCATTTTTGTTGTAAATTTAGCATTATTATCAAGAAAATTTAGTAAATTTAACAGGAAGAAATTAATCAGATTCATCTGATAATTCCTACAAGAATTCTGGTTCGTCCATTTTCCAACAGACATACTGGTTGAATCTACCAGGATTCTAATTAATACAACCAGATTTTTTTCTCAGTGCAATACTCCACGATAGGAAAAATATAATATTTCGCCTAAGGGAAATATTATATTTGATTTCAAAACATCTTCCATCGTGTAGAAATGTAATCCGAACTACGTTGCTGTTGCATGTGCACAGATTCGTATTTCGACTATCGACCCCGCTCCAAGGATACAAATATTTGCACGTCGTCGCGCTCCGGTGTCCAATTATCACTACTCGAGCCGTTTTATCTCGCACGTTAACTTTGCAACGATATGCAAAGCGACTCTATCAATTCCTCCGTACGAGAAAGAGGAAGAAACGAAATTTGTATCTGATGCGACGTCGTATATCTCGCTCGCTTGTTCCGAAAATAAATTTTGTTTGTAATTTATTCTATTGCCATTGGAGAGAAATATCGCCGGATATCAATCTACACGAATCATTTACAAAAGGCGCAGTTGTAATTTAGAATAATTCAGCGTAGGGATGAAAATCGTGTTTTTAAATGAACGAATGCAATTCTACGCGATTATTCGGTTCGTGTTTATTCGGATTTTTTGAGAAAATATTTTTCTATTAATTTAATTTTCATATAAAAGCTATGCTTTTTTTTCGCAATAATCGATTATTTCATCCTGTGGCGGCAGAGTGTAGCATGTTTTACAGTTGACATTTTATACGAGAAAATTGCTCCAGATATATGAACCGAGAAGAATTATTCGTTTATTCGTATCTCTATTGCACACGTTTGCTTTAAAGAAGGAAACTTGCATCGGATGATAAAATGCCGGCAGCGTAGTCGAGATCTGAACGAGTCGGGAACGTGATTAAAAGTCCTGACCGATATTTTGCTAATTACGGCCACGCCAGACACAAACGTGCCGCTAATTACGTGTCCCGGCGTAATAATGGATAACCCTTAACCAAGGTACAAAAGATTCCGACTTGAACAAATTCAACCACCGTAGGAAATGGTTCATGATTCCCATAGGCCAACGCAGTCCTTTCTCTCTCTCTCTCTTTTCTCTGTCTGTCTTTCTTTCTTGTGCCCTAATTCCAAGCTCGCTTTTTTGCAGATGACGCTACAAGTATCGTGGGTCCGACACAGAGACGTCCATTTGCTCACAATTGGCCGTTACACGTACACGAACGACCAGCGATTTCGCGCGATCCACGCCGCCCATTCGGACGACTGGACGCTCCAGATAAAATATCCGCAGCATCGGGACAGCGGTATTTACGAGTGCCAGGTTTCCACGACGCCCCACATGAGTCATCTAGTCCATTTAAATGTAATCGGTAAGTCATCGTTGCACGCAATATCCGTCGAGCGGAAAATAATATCGAAAATTCGCCGAGCGTTAAATTAAAACGAGGGCGCGCGCAAATTACACGACTCTCTTTCCCGAATATTATAATAATATCCCCCATCGATTACATAAGACATCGCGATTCCACATCCACGAAAATAGATTTAACTTCCTCTCGTGCGGATATCCCGCGGTTCCGATCAAATATTAGTGTGCGGGGAGCACGCGGGAATTTCACCTAATTAGGATGGTGTACGCAACAATTAGTTAATTCTAATCCGAATCTGCCCCAGTTACCGTAATAGTCGTCGTCGCAGTAGTAGCGGCGGTAGCAGCGACTGCGCAAAATTTAAGCCGAGCTTAAATTCTGGCGGAGCGCCAATTGAACACCTGGGATTGGTTGATACCGATGTCGGGCTAAGCTCTAGCCCGCGCAGATAGGGCTTTCCGCGAAATTATACCGAGCAAACTTAAATTCGATAACGGTGCCCTTCAACTTTTTTATCACCCCCGCGATAGAAGAGAGAGAGAGATGGCGAGACGGATACGCCAAGATCGACGTGAAGCAGGTCGCTCCGCCGAGTTTACGTAAGTAATTACCCCGGCGATCGAATCGAGCACACGTACGGCCGGCGCGAACGTACATCATTCGCGATGCGACACCCGATTTAATCACGCGCTTCGCCCCCCCCCCTCCCCCCACTTCGCCGGTCGAGCATCCCCGAACGAGCGCGGAAAGAAGTTTGCCGACCTTATCGGATCGTTTAAGGAGCAAACTTTTGTACCACGCCATATCGCACGTACCGCCAAGCGACGACGGCGCCCGGCGAGGCTATGAAAAACTTTGGCGATCGCTTAAACGTCAGTCCGGGAATTTATCTTACGCGGCGCAGCGAATTGATTTAAATCGTCCCGCGGGCGTCGCCGCGTCTCCTCTTGTCTTCGCTGACGCTCGTCCGACCTGGACCACCGTCGCGGTAACAAATTTCCCCTTTAACCTCCGCATCGAGGAGAGCTGCCTCTTTAAATTTCGCCTACATTAAAACGAAGGTGAGGAAAGGGACCGAGAGGGTGATCCTATTTCTCTCTTACGTCCTCCGTGATGCTCCCCTCGAAGATGATCCCGGAGGAGGAATAGGACGCAACCCGGTGGCGAAAAGGAACGAGGCGAGGGGATCGTTTATCATTCTTAGCCCTGACCCTTAACGCAACGGCTGAACAAATGATCCTAAAGAGTAACGACTATACACACCTGCTTGCACGAGGAGGATCGCTCCTCTTCTCGAGGAAAAAGAGAGAGAGAGAGAGGGAGAGAACATTGTACTTTTCTTCGCACGGCGTAATTACTCATCATCCGGGGAAGAAGTGGACGCGTTTACACAACATCTGGACTCTCGCGCCGATAAAATCTCGCTTCCCTTCCTTCTTCCTTCCTGCTCCGAGCGTAATCGCAGTTTCGTTAACCGAATATCGCTGTCGTTGATAAATAACGCCTCGGGTCGAGCTCTCTCGCGGTTACAGTTTACGTCATTCGATTCTTCGCGTTATTCTATACATTACTTCTATATAGAATTAGCGCGCAAAAATACACGGAAACGATCGCGGAAATGCTCTCTTACACCGATAACTACCTCGGGACTTGGCGAACCGATAAATTTCACGATTCGCCTCGTATAATCGGATCAATGAGCTCGTATACGACAATCGTAAAGCAATTTAAAGGATTCTTATACGTTTACGACAAACTTACAAAATCCCATTGCGCTTTTTGCTCTTAGGAAAAAATATATATACGAGAACGCCGTGTTTAATTTTAATTCGCGATGAGAAGCGCATTATCGTAAATTACACGATTGCATCTATAAATTAATTAGTATATTATTTACCGATATTATCTTTTGTAAAATTACAATGGATAAAAGTGCACATCCTTCGTTTAAGGAAGAAGATTTTGCATTTTATCGCGCCGTTTACGCGATTTCCTCGCGTTTAGCGAGGAACTCCTATCTAAAGACTCGGGTACGGATTGTCATTAGCCAGCAATTAAATGCGAGCCTAAGCCACGAGATTGTCGTCTACGCGAATTTCGCGATAAGTACAGGGCGAGCTAATATCGAGGCGCGAGGGAATCGCGCTTAAGCTGATTACTAGTCGAGAACTCGCGAGTATCGCCATTTAAATGAATACTAAAGTTTCGCGTGGCACCAAAACCACATCCGCAAATATTTCCGTTTCCCGGCGACATCCGGCAACGGCTTAAGTCGCGTCTGCCGTATTTACATTCACTTTACCGTCTCACCCGGTGGCTTTCACGCGACGTCTTTCTCGGCGATTGTATTTGCACGCTTGCCTTCCAGAGGCGCGAGCCAACTTCCCGGCTGATGGTCGCCATTAATGTCTCCTCTCGGAGGCACGGCTTACTAATTGGTACTCTTAAAGCCCTTGTATTTGAAAAATATGCCCTCTCTCATCGTGAATAGGCGGGGAATGCAAAACGTTAAACCTCTTTCATTTTACCTCGCCTCCCATTCGAGTTATACAGTCGCCTATCCGATGCGCACGACGGTGATGTAACGGGGTTTATTTTTCTAAGTCGAGGCACAATAGATTCCGCGGTGCGATTTACGAGTCCCGCCGCTTACATTCTTTCAAGATTTCGTTTAACCATTGTAAATAAAATTGCTCGACGACTGCAGGTATTTTTCTTCAAGTATCACGCGACGGGGTGTCGGCCGCTTTTCCTCTCTTCCTCTCTTCCTCTCCCACTTTCTCTCTCTCTCTCTCTCTTTTTTCTCTCTTTTTTCTTTTTTTGTCAATCTTTCGTTGAAAAATTGTTTTTCAAGCTCGATCGTAAAAGGTCTTTATCATCGCGTTGCCTGTCTTCAAATAGCCTTTTGTTTAAAGCCCTCGAGTTAAAGTTTCGTAATATCGATTTAAAAAGTATCTCTCGTTAACGCTTCCAATCGATATTCAATAATCTCCCGGCCTCTATAATTTTTTTCTTATTATAGACACAGTAACATAGTTTTCTTTCTCCTTTCTAATACACGCATAATTTTCCGGAGTTTTCTAAAAATGAAACTTTCCTCGAGAACATTGTGTCTCACCCTAAAATAAGTACAATGTGTCTAAAGTATTACGCACATCTTCCAATTACGTGGACGTTGACGACCCAGCATCGCTTATTAATGCGTTAAGCTTGGATTTCACCGAGATAGACGTCGCGCGGTTGGATAGTATCGCCTCATATTTCACTCCAGCGCCTCCTCCGCGCGACTATAAATGCTTTCTCTCCGGTAATACCACTCGCAAATTTGCAATATCCATGCCTTCCTGTTACCCCTATTACACCGAGCCACGCTCTCTCCCTCCGTCACTCCATTTCTGTCTTTACGAGCGCGTAAAAGCTCGTAATGATACTCGTTGTGAACCGTCCGTGAACCACTTTCGCGCAGACCGCCGGAATACTTTACGACGGAACATGCGAGACTTTTCGCGACAATTAATAATGAATAATCACCGTCGAGAGCATCACCGCAGACGTTTGCGCCATAGAAAAGATTATGTGAAGAGAATTTAAAAATATAAAAATATATATAATAAATATGTAATAATATAATATATATAATATATATAATAATATAATAAATTTAAAAATAATTAAAATTATTTCTCATTTTTTAATCTTCAAAAAATAATTGTCGGAAAAGATTTTAAAAAAATATAAAAAAAATAATAAAATTACAATACCATATATGAAAGCAATGTGCAGTTTTCAATCACTTCCTAAGGAAATCTGGTTTTCAAATTTGAGTGTTTGCCAGGTTAATCATCGTAACCTTGAAACGCTGAACCATTATGTGGGCAAAGAGCGATAAACGGTAATACAACGATCCGGAAGCAATTTTTTCATTAGTTTCAAGTGCTCCTTATCGGGTATAATTTGAGATCTGAGAGAGCCATTCGCGGTGGAAAGTGTCAGATTCTCGCGGTAAAGTGCACTTCGCTTTATCTTAAGTGGGAAGAACCGAATAGTTTCTCTCCCTCTTTCCCTCCCTGCTTCGGTTTTCTACCTCAACTTTGATTAGGCGCATTCAAATCGAACGTCTTTCTTTTCTACCTTCTTTCCATCGTCTCCTCGAGAAACTTGGTGCGAAATAGTTTGCGATGAAGATCGCGTTTAACTCTCCCGCTTCTATTCGCTTCTCGCTCATGTCGGATCAGAGTTACTCGATCATGGCTCTATCGATGGTCGCGAATAGTACAAGTTGTAAATACTTGTACTCATGTGATGTAAGACAAAGTGTAACATCTACGTTACCTTCACCAGCGGGCATTCGTTCAACTTGTTCCATCGGTTAGTTTCTCAACTACCGACTTATTTCACTTAAGGCGATACGGAAGATCCTATCCGCGTTCTACTCTATTCATTACAATTCGCTATTAGAATACACAGAAATTAGATCTCTCAATGTTACGGAAAACAGTTTGGGAATCGTCTTTGTTCCGTTAACTATTTTTGCTCGACATTTAATTATATTTATATTTTGTATTAATTTTGTTATCGAGAAATTCAGGAAAAAGCTTCAAAAAAGATTGATGAAAGACAAGTAATAAAATTTTGTAGTTTGTGAAAAGAAATAAAAGTCTCTCATTGTATTTATCAAATTTAAAAAAATAAAATTTTTAATTTTTGATAAACAAAATGCAATTCCTAAATAAATCACTTTAATATGCTGTTTTCTTACATATATTTATTTAAATTCGAATCTCTAAGTCTGTATACATATCTAATTTCATTAAACTTTTGATTGCAGCAAATAAATCGTAAATCGTAAATCTGTAAATTGCGATTCTGAATGGATATAATCGAAAAGGAATATCGTTCATATGGCAGAAGACATTTCTATTGACTCGCGAAAACAAAGGTGCCAATAGAGCGCACAAAGCGAATGCGAAAAAAGCCGTTTTATTACGATATTTTGAGGT